GAAAGTAACCTTGCGACTGACGTTCAAAGGAGACAATGTATGCCAAGTATTTCAGCGGCGCTTGAAAACCGCAGTAGCGCGCGCATACCTCGTGCGTGGACCAATACTGCCCACTGGTTAAAGCCCACTGACATCGTCCACCCTTTCGATAATTCTATACCACTTTACCCGTATATGAAAGGCCGTATATGTGGGTATGACAGGCTGACAATGGCGAGTGAGTCGCGGCACGGGTTAGTAGACACCTTTCGCCCACCAGTCAGAATGCGTAGCCGATGCTGCGAACATCCAGTTGTATCAATCGTCCTTCACCTGACAACCATTATGCAGGCTCATGCACTTGCGTTCCGTGTTATCAACTACTCAACATAGCCTAAATTTTAAGACACAGAGACCCCGGCTACCAAAAGCCTGACCTAACTCTGTATTTGCAGTATGACTCATTGGTGACCCTGATTCTGCCGTGGTAACTGGATAGGAAGTAATGATAAAGTGACAATTATATATGTTGTACAGTCTGGACATGTTGTTATTTTAGTTACGCTAATTTCATGCTGCTATAAAATCACACGGTCTGTAGTGCACACCTGAAAATGAATTAAATTGTACGAAAGTTTCCTGTTAACTTCTGTTAGAAGTGGAGAGTTTTGGAGCAGCTCTATCCCACCATTGGACTCTAAGATCTACCGGTTTCGTTCTGATTTGGCCTCGTCACGTAGATAGCTCGAGCTGTGAGGGATGCCCCACACAGTGGTTAACGGCTTTCATCTTGGTCACTAGGCCAGCACTCCACAGCACCGCTCGACACAGCGGTTAGAAGTTGATCATTAGGGCTTTAAGTACCGTCCGTGTGTCGGGATTGCGACAGCGTGAAGCTTCCTCGGGAATTAGCGCATTCAGTTGCTTGAACTGGTCACTTACCGTAAGCGAGCATGCGGCAGCACAAGCTGTCTGACAATGGGCTTGGAATCGTCTACATCCAGAGGCATCCGCCATGATTTACTGATCGAACAGTGCTCTCAGGTACTGATGAAAGCGAAGCAGTATGTTTTTAAAGTTTGAGATAGTTTTTCGAAAAGCCTTTGCTGTCTGATATCTAGGGCCCCCATAACAAAGCAGGTTCCGATACTCAGGACGGTCACCATGTTTTCCTGAACCAATGGAAAACTTTGACCTACGCATTTGGGACTAGCAACTTGCTTTCCGGTTTTGCATTTTTTATTCGGTTTCATCATCGAGCGACCAACGTTAGACTGAGAGGTGCATTTGCGCAGCATGGACGAGGAATGTTAATCCATTAAGTCATCGGTCATGATTGTTTACCTTAAGGAAAAGAGAAAGCATTCTTCCAACTCATCCTTGCCGGGTCTCCCTCTCGTTAACTGTGATACATATACCGATCGCTCAGCGAGCCTTTTGTGGGCATGGCTATTCGCTTGCTTTCCGTCTGCGTGAGATGAAAAATTTCGCCTCTGCTTTAAACCGGATCAATCATCACATTGGCCAGAGGAAGATTTCTTCCTTAATAATGGAAATGACATTGGTTGACAGGTGGTATTCAATAAAAGTGACGGCTTGGTAACGAGGATTCCGGTTGGTCACTCAACTATTCTTATGAATCCGTCCAATTTACTTAACGAATGAGATTATATTCAAAGTTACCGAGTTGTGCTTACAAACCACAACATTTAGCTATAGGTAGGGGATTTCGAATGTGGTTTAGTCAACAAGTACATTTAGGATGAAGCGGCTGTCTTATAGTATTTGTGATAGACTATTTGACCATCAATAAAACAGCATAACTCTTACCATTTGTTCGTAATGGTTTGAACTCAATATAAGCCGGAGATGTCATTCGGTATCGACAAAATGTGAAGCCTTTCTGTTGAAACTGCTCCAGGATGGATCGCCCAAATCCAATGACAGCACTTTTAGGTACCCTTATATAATTCTTGGGTAGTGCCAGGGGAAAGCTCAAAGTGGGTTGCATGGTAGAGTATCTAATCCTGGGTTGAAAACTCCAGCGGGAGTTGTTCTTCAAGCCCTATGTGGACAGAACGGCAATCCCTCATAATAGTTTTTCTCAAAAAGGCTCAGATTGACGGTCATCAAGCCTCCAGAGAGGTCCTGGGTGGTTAGTTCTTTCTTTTCTAATACATCAGCAGCACAAAATCTGTGTTATCAAGTATTCGAAACAACGCAACTTTTTAACGTCGAGAAACACGCCTTTCGGTACTACGGTACATAACGCCATCAGATGTGTTTAAAGAGACATATTTATGTCGAATGTGAATGCGAAAAGCTTACCACAGAACATTACCCGGCAAATAGCCATATGCATAAAAAACACCAGTTATCTTTGGATACCATAGCACCTGGCATCAAACAACTTGTCTGTTAACAACTGTTGACCGTATGTACTGACTTGTGTTTCTGTTTAATGCATTTCGAACCACTTGTTCATTGATGTTGCATGGGTTACTTAATGTCTGGGTCCAAATACTGGCTTGGAATTTACAGGAAATCCACACCTTTTCCTCCCGAAGTTGCCAAAAGTTATGGTAAGCTTGCCCTATTAGGGCAATCGCAATGTCGTACGCCGCCAATGATCAAAGGAAATTTGAGGTTTTGACGTTCACTACCGGCTGTTCAATGGTGCAGTTGAATCGAATGCCGCACCGGCCGGCTGGCCGTTTGTTCCTTCGTTTCTACTCTAACTAAGTCAAGTTGGACACAGGGATCAGGAAATTAATCTTGGGAATGTAACGAAGTATGATGGCCGCATAGCAGTTCGACCACCCGTTAGTTCCTCCAACTATTGCTGTTTGCAAAGCGCTTGTTGACTCAACCGTTTTTACTGTTTCAACAATAGGGTCGATTAAGCGGAGAGGTGTTTGTCGTTCGGTTTTTTTACCACAATCGAGTTTGAATTGCGAAAGCAACTTTATTTTGAACCTCCATTCACATTGAAGTTGACCTTGCTCATTTTAACTGTCGGAACTGAATCCAAAGTACACAACGCATCTATGGCGTTGACTCTCAGACACTGCACCGTACGTATGCTATCGGGCCTGAAAAACTACACCGAACGCCCTGCAAAAAAAGAGGTTGTTATGGAACGCAGTATTAGGCATTAGCACGGTTTATTTCAAGTTGTACTTTCATGGTAAGAATGTGCGTCAAGTCTGTGACAGCTGCATGACTGATTGTCATCTACAGATTTGTGGATCGGGCAGATATATACACGACAGTCGAGAGCTTAACATCTGTATGAAAAGCACTTAGAACCTCATGAAAACGTTTCCTTCAATTTCCAATAGTCAACCTGGTCGGTTTTCGCCGACTTAAATTTGCGCATCAAGAGATCCATCAAGATCCATTTTCAGGGGTGTGTGCAGTTTTAACCCGTGAGTTTCTCGTCTGCATCAACTATTTATATGTTTTCTACTAGTATCTGAGGAAGGGTAACTAAATTCTTATTAACCGTCGTATAATGTAGCACTGAATCCAACACCCGTGAGTGAGCACTCATCCCTCGATCAAGAATGATTGTGCAGCACCAGCGCAACTATTTCAAAACCGAAATTATTTCCACATTAACTAGACACACTTAGTTAAAGGTTGACTATATATATGTATATATATATATACATATATAAAAGTTTGACCAATATACCATTAGCAAAACAGCAACAAAAAGAGAAAACCATGTAGTCAAGGTAAGCGTTATGTGTTATTTGGGCAGACAGCCTCCCGGTTTCCCACACGGAGGAAGAGTTCACATAAGGAACCCGAGCACGTAGTTTTTTTCATAAGACCTGAATCACAAGGCAGCGGGGCGATTCATGTAAGTTGCCAGCCAGGTGGCTCATTCACCTTCATTGTGTTCGGTAGCAGTCACGCAGAAGCCGGTAGCCGGCAAGGTTGTTCATCCGCCCTCTGTTAGATATTCACCTCTGGTTACGGGAGTAATCAGCGACTCTATAGCCGGGCACATTGCATTTGACACAGCGCCGTATGATTTCTTGTAAAATTTGTTAGGTAACCAGGTGACCAGCCCAGAACTCCCCACTTTCTGAAACGCTGCGCTGATTGTCCGCGACGACTTACTTATCTCGCATGTAATGCAAACGAGACCTATTCGCAGTTATCTCCACTAAGACATTCCCTAATTCGCAACCTGGAGACGCGCTAGTGATGTACAGCTGCGCTGGAACAGCTAGAAGAAGCGTTCTAACCATTTCTCCATTGGCAGCTTTGTACATTTCAATCGAAACGTAACGTGAGTGGAAATTTGGTGTTACCCGCACGAAAACACTGCACAACCACGATACGTTTCTATGTCATTTCATCTCATCAGGTGGAGATAGCAGGTCTCGAACCCGCGACCATTGGATTTAAAACGTAAATTGATTTGCTGCGTCATTCAAGGGTCCTCTCTGTGCCCAATTCGGTATGCATGAGAACATACCCAATTAGGCCGGATGATGATAAACATGAAATCCATGTTAACTCTGTGGATGGTAATCAGGAATTTACTCTATACTACAGTCCATCTCACATTTATCATTCCTCACAGCCAAACCAGTGTGTACTCTCCATGTATGCGTTTGTCAGCACTAGCTCAGCCCGACTGATGTCTGTAGGTCACTAAAGTTTTGTCAAACTAGTAGCTTGAACATCGATCTTTGCAACCTTGTGAACTTTAAGCATATCGATGGCAATGCAACATTAACAGGGTACGGCTAAATAAGGTTAAAAACATTAAACGCTAAGTTGGTGATCTTCTATTGAAATAAATCTTTGTTCATATAGGTATGGTGCTTGTGAATCTGTACACGGTGTTTTGGAATATAGTCAAACACACTGGTATATAATTAGCATGCTAAAAATTCGCGTCCACCAAATCCAGTGAAGGCCTGGTGCCCTTATTTGCAAAATAAGACAGCAATTAAATATGCAGTTCGGCGCCTTTATTCAAACCTTGCTTGTTCCCACAGATCCAGTGGCATCACAGACTCACTGGTAGCTGCAACCGGAACGAACTTACCTCAACAGGGCTCAAGCAACGTTGACTGTTGCAACAGACTGTCCTGTGAACTGGAGACCCAAACACTTAGCTGCAGTTCAGAGGACACACAACCTCGAACCACGTCTGCCTCGCTAACGTTTGTCAGTAGCCCGTGCAACACAACCTACAGATCGATTGCGAACGTCCACTGCCCGCTATCCACGCACTGGAGTTCCACCACAGACTGCATTCCGGGTTACTCCCCAAAAGAGCTTGCAGACGCGGAAAAATGCCTCCAGGCGCACCATTCACAATGTGGAAAGAAGGTGACCGAGTCCGAACGAAAGCTTTCCATGGACGAAGAACGTGCATTCTCCATGCGACCACCTGCACCGCCTAAACGATCTCCTCTCACGATGCTCACAGGGTTAGCTGCCATTTGGATGCTGTTTAATTGTTATATTCTATAATGTGCACACTACAATGTAGAATACACTGTCACGTACAAAGATTAGTGTTATCGACTATGCGCTCCAAAATGCAGCTTGGGATCGACACAGTGTCTACCAAAGCGAAATCTTACCACTGGACTACTAGGTTATAAATTTTCCGACTTTGACTTTAGGCTCCGGGCCACCCACTGGAAAAGGTAAGGAAGTAAATTAAACAATATGCACTCATTTTTACCAAAACTTTTGAACAGGAAAGTAAGTTTTAATCCATTAAAATTAACTGGGACAATAACAACTCCCTAATTTGTTTGATCTACTTATGTGTGAGACTCGTGAATCACTTGAGCCCTAACTTATCCTAATATGAAGCAGACATGATGCGTGTGCACACAACTCTTTCCGGTTACTTCGGTGCAGTTAGACACTGATATGCGTCATGTGCACGCACCGCAAACTTTCACCATGTTTCATGAAGACCTTACTTTAGCTTGTGTGGGTGCGTGTACACCCACCACAGTGGGATTCTTCACGCGAACTAACACATAATGGGAATGTACACAAAGGGTTAAGTCTATACAGCGTCAAGCCAATACAGGTTGCTTATCCGCGGTCGGCTGGCTCCCGTGACATGGTGTAACTTGGATGGTCTAATTTATTCCCATGTTCAAGTAAGATGCATCAAGTGGCAGCATGGTTGACTCTGCTTGTTATTTCATGAACACAGCCAGTTCGATCTAGAGAAGAGACTAAAGCAAATTGGTCGCAGTGAGGAGAAGACATGACGGAGCGAATTTATTTATCTGGTTTGGGTATCATGACTGCCGATGATTACTTAGACAAGTTCGTGGCAATCCATTAACTGTGAACTCGAAGTCACAAAATTGGAGGCTCCACAACTGTGTTTGTTTTCAAGTAGCTTACGGAGGGAATCGAACGGCCCATTTAGTGATCAGAAAACTATACCCTAATCTACTGTAATGTTTCACCTTGTGCTTTCAGCAATCATCATAGTTAGAAAAACCACCACGCACAGTAGAACTTGAAATGAGTACTCACCTGTTACCCTGTAGTCCGAAACAGATGATAAACGAGAAGAAAATGCGTAGGACACATTCCCTAACTTTTGTCCTCAGTTTAGACGGACCTCGGAGTTCCAAACCGGGCATGTAGCAACACCCACCTACATGGCTGGGCAGGTCTGTGTTCCACAAGTCTATTTTCTTTGAGCTAACCAAAGTTATCTCAAGTGTATGGTAACCATCTTATGCCAATAACTATCCACTGGATGGCTGGTTACTCCTTTCATTGCCTTTGGCATTTTCCATAGCACGGTGTTATTTACAAATTGGAGGGCACTAAATCAGCATGGATCAATTAACCACTCCAATATAAACGAAAAGGTGTTTTTGGAAAAGCGTTTTGTTGCTGCTAAACTGCCAGTTTGTATCCTTCACCTCCACCAAGCAACGAAATATCCGGTGTTCTTTTTCCTAGACAGGAGGAATGCGTACACTTTTTATGCGTAATCACTGACGCATCTGGTGGTGGAACACATGTAGCACCGGTTATTGTACTCAGCATGGGAACCAATGATGTGCTGAGAAAATTCATCAGAACCAGCTACTTCTGCATGGCTTACCGCATGGCCATTGTAATCCCATCAAGTGGGCTGTAGTCATACGTGTGCACTCATCGTATGTGCATTGCTTCATGGGGCTATGCCTAATAAGACTTTTGGTGCGATACTCATCGGGATGTAATATACAATGCTGCAGAATGAGACAAAATGGCATCAAAATCACTGAGATTCAATACGGGCCCTGAACAGCTGTAAGTGGCGTACACTTTTCCTTGTTGTCTGACAGTAATTTGCGACTAATTGGCCACTGGTGCTGAGGGCGAGATCACTCTAACTAAGAATTACCGGACAGGAAATTCATTTAGTTGAAGTTATGTAAATACTGTATTAATATGTATGGGTCTTAGACCAGTGTGAGATATTTCCAGGAATAGCTAGATGATAAAGTGGAATTGGGTAGTGAAACCACAACTATTCACATTAGAAGATGTGCTCTCCTTTGTGTTTTCTAATCTATGCCTATTGTTAGGCTCACCTTTTTCAATAGTCGATTGGTCGCGTTCCTAGACCAAGATGAACTGAGTTCGCCGACTTTACTCGTATGTGGCTGTGGGGAAGTCAGGAAAAGAGTAACAGATAGCAGGATTTCTGAAGCGAATACGTTGGTTTTTAAATGACGCGTTCATATGTGGTTTGCAGCGTGACTATTGGAACCCCTTTCATGAACAATGAATTTATAGGGGTTAAGAAGTTTTGCTTTACAAATCCCGTTGGACCGTTGGTGGGGACATCGAACTAAACATAATTATCATAACAATAATAATAATAATAATCGCAAAACGGTTAATAATTTAAATATGTAAATAAGGTGTTATCGTGTGCTGTGCCGTAGTCCTGCAATCCGGTTAGATTTACAGCACTTACAGTTAACTTCAAATAAATCCATGGTACACTCCACGTGTAGGAGGAGACGTAGCGCTAAGTGACAAAGTGTAAGTGTATGAGTGCGTCATCCAACTGTTAGTGTCGGTGTGGAGACGACCGATGCTGGGAGAACATTCCACGGGTGACAGACACGAATGGAAAAGAAATTTCTGCAAGTTCCAATGAGTGTCCCCTCAAAAATATTTTGGTGCTGAGTAGCAGTAAAGAGCAGCACGCATGATTTGAGTCTTGTTGAATCAAGTATGCCATAAGCAGGTCACATCATAGTTTGCGATAGCTTCCACTGAATACCCCCAATCGCTGCAGCCTCTCTTAGTAAGAAAGATTGCACATTCCAATTACGTTCTTAGATACCCGGCGTTGTGGCTGCTCCAGTGCATTAAGGTCGTGTTTCAGCCATGGATACCAGGCTTGATTTGCCTATTCGACATGGGGGTGGACGTACGCACTGAGCATTTGTCGAAGTATGGAGCTGTTTATTTGTCCAAACTTTCGTCGCGACAGCTCGAGATGTATTTTTCCAGTTTTTGGGGCCCTTTCGGATTGCCTGTAACAACCCAAGTCATCTTGAACCAGAACACCCAAGTCACCTTCGATAGTTGATGGTTGCAGTACACTCGTTCCAAGCCGGTATGCGTAACTGCTCTGAGGTCGGCTGTTAATACCTTTCATTTACACAAGTTGAAATGCAGTTAATTATGGGTTGACCAACTGAAGTTACGACTTATTTAAGTACCGATTGACGACAACAAGTCACGGCGGCGGTTTCCGCCATTGGATGCTTGGCGTAGTAGTTTCTCTCAAAGTGATTGCATCCCACGAATTGGTGTATCAGTAAGAGCCGATAAGAGTGCAGGGAACGTTTGCTATTCAATCACTTCTATTGTTTCAAATCCACGATCTAAGCGTCAAATTCGCCTTGGGTTCGAATAACTCGTAAAACTCCCGGGTCAGCGCGAAGCAGGATGAAAGTTAACTACCGCGCCGTTAAAATACATTTCGGAATGTAACACAAGCATATAGCAACTATATTTGTTCATTGATGAAATAACTGTGTCTCTACAAGGTAAACAAGGACACAACGGAGTTTGAAGTCACCGTACTTGCGGCTGCACAGCCAAATCACAGAAGTCAGATTCCACAAGCGGAATCCCACGGCTAGTATACTGTATCACAGAACCCATTCCAGTTGGTTCAGTGTGCAGCGCCTTGAGGAATAAAACGCATTGTGTTCATGTGGTGGCTTCAAGCGAGGAGTAAGTAACGTGTGTCGAAGTAAATGTGAGTAAAGACATGAGGAAACAGATGGCATTCGCATGGTTTGACCCCTGAGGCAGGAAAGTGTCGATAACGCCTGGGGTCGAATTGCACAATGTTGGAACGAGCAATTTTGACAGGGAGTGCTGGAATAACTCCACGGGGCAACAAGCAGGATGACACAAGATGTCTGACGTGGTGGTAGGGAAGAATTGACCAGATGACGCAGGTATCAGTTGTGGGGATCCGTGGCAATATCCCGATATCCAACTTTGGACTTGCACAGTACGTTTACCGTTTGCGCACTACGTATCATCTTTCGACTCATCTATAGTTTGTCATGTGTGTTTAGTAGCCTGTTTACTGTGCATCTGACTCACCACCGTCAGTAGTGGTCTGTTGCCACCAGCACTTCATGTTCCCATTAAGCAGAAATCAAGCTGATGGGAGCCTAAAGCAACTTTTACGCAGTTGTACTTGTCCTACTTGTTCTTCCACAATAGGCAACATAAACTGCAGGGACAAAATTAAGGATAAAATGACGGCCAAATTTTTCACAACTTTGTATATAAAATGTATTACTTCGATTTTGAAGCGAACAGGTTAGTGAGTTATCTTCATTTATTCACTTCTGTTTTGTCTCAGGATGTCTTTTATGATGCCCTGCGATCGCATATTTGGTTTAGAGGATCGCAGCGGAAAATCTAATGGCGGTCGATTTCGTCCAGGATACAAAGGAACTGAGACAGAGTCCCTTGACTTTGCACATTGGAATAAGGAAGGCCGGACTCACAGCTGTGAAGATGTGTCGCGGTCACAGTGTGATTCAGTTCGATCCAGTGACCACGACGAAGTGGCGCCTGATCTCAGCTCAATGGGTGAGGAAAATGAAGAGACCCACAGGCTAGCTGCGGTTGCTGAAAATGAAGTGCTTCACATGACTGAGTTGCTGTCAGAACGGCGGGAGTCTGAGGCCAGACGTCACTTGATGTTGGCCGAACTTGAGGCGGACATAGAAAGAGATCATCGGTTGCAGGCAGCGGAAAACGCTTTGGCTTTGGCAGCTGTCAGTAGCTTGAGTCCCCGAAAAAGTGCAATTCTAAAGCAACCTGATCGATTGCGTGCTTCGGTACGTTGTCCGAAGCATGGACCTCACGGGGTTGAGATTTCTACTACCTCTGGGTCGTCTAAGCGATTTGATATGGAAGAAGATTTGCTCATTCCAGTGACAAAGAGTAAGTAGCGTCTGTGTCCACTGAAACGCTTTATCTTTATGTCCGACTAGTTGTAATGAAGCTGAGAAAAATACCTCTTAGGCAGTTGCTCTACGATTACGAGTATAACAATGGTGTCGTATTTACGCATCTATTTCCTTTAAACCTATCCTTCTAGCTCCATCAGGCTTTGGATTTAGCTTGACCACGAGGCCGCTACGACCTTATAGTGGTGATTCGTCAGCATCCTCCTCCTCTATCCCATGCAGTTTACGAGAATCCACCGCTGTGTGTGTGAAAAGTATCCTACCGGGTGGCTCTGCCTTGAAAGGTGGACAGCTGTGTTTGGGTGATCGTTTAATACAAGTAAGTGACCTCTGCCGGAAATACGATTATTGCCTAATCTGTGAATAATCAGAATATTTAAGCTTGGGTAATTAGCCAAGAATATCAGGTCAGACTGTTGTTTCGGAGAAGCTTTTCATCATTTACGCGTGAAAGAGACCGGCTTTCATTCCCACTATGCAGTCCCTTTACTTGAAAAGCATAAGGTAAACGCTAAGTCCACGAACAAGTATTGCTGGTTTACTGGGTTATACCCGATATGCAGAACCAGTTATGGTTCCCACCAACACGGATAAGCGATTCCTCGTTGGGCCGCTAATAGTCACTTATCTCTCGTGTGAAATTCCTAAGACTGCACCATGAAACTATATTAGCTCTTGAACTACATTCCTTTCGCGAAATCCTGACTGCTGCTCTTCCGGCTTGCCTGGATTCGACTAAATGCACTGAGAGCCAACCTTAGGTACTAGAACAGCGTTAAAAATAGTTTCCTGATGCAGGTTACGTCAGTTTTTACCCATAATTCAGTTGCTGTTTAGCGATAGGACTCATGAACAACCACACAGATGGCGAGCTGGTTTGAATCAGCCTGTCTATCAATAACTTAGCAAACGAATTCCTCAATCTCTATACGTCTACTGCATAGTGGTATCCTCGGCTCAGTCCCGTTTTTGGGAAACCTCCAGGAAATTTGGTGCTGGGGAAGCTAAGATGCTCTGTAGGATGAATGTCTCCCTTTCAAATCGACCGCTGTATGGTCCAAGCTTGCTTGTAGCAACTCAACTCGGCTTCCTTATTCCGCGACTAATTCAGGTCTTTTGGTTGGAATATATTCCGACAATTTTATGTGACAAAATTTACAACCAGTGGGATACAGATTTGTAGATGGCGGATTTAGAAAGTTATCACCGCAGGCAATTACCACAATAGTAATATGCCAGTACAGCAGTGAGCGATGACCTTCAATCAGTTAAAACTAAAGGTAAAACCCTTGTCATCTAACTGCAATAACGTCATTTTGACATAAAAGGAAGGGATATGGGAATGGATATTTTATCATTGTAACCGAATTAATCAATTCACAGTTGTTTTAAGTCCATCTTCTACCGCACGACAAGCAACGCTAAATATCATCCGTAAGGATGAAATAAGATTTGCGCAGCAGCAATGCTGTCCCATAAAGCAAATTATGTTTGATTTTAAGGATCATTTTGAAGTACACGTTGTGTGTATGGATTGCGACACGCAATCTCAATGTTGACCGCGATTGCCATTGAAGTGAACCTTGATCTATCGATCACGAGGCCCGTAGCTGAAGCAGAAAGAAATTGCATGTTACCGACCCCAATGGTCTCGGTTTCGATGCCTGCTATCCCTATCTGATAAGATGAAATGCCATCGAAACTTATCACAGGATCGCAGTGTTTTCGGACGGGTAACACCCAATTTCTATCAAATTATCTTTGCTTACGATTGTCTCTGCACCAATTGCGTACAAGTACTGCTTTGACTACGAATAATATGCCTTATGTAGTTCGAAATGCCGCAAGTTTTGAATCTGCACAAATAAACCGTGACTGATCAAAATACTTCGAGTGCCTAACGGCCTGTGCAGGTTTTCGAACTCAGTGTTACCGGATTTGAGTAAGCCGACTTTGGATGACCGCCAATTGACCTTTAAGGGATAGGATCCCGTGGGAATTATGTACTAATAACCGGTGCTTTTTGTCAGTTTGCGAATAACGCAATTGGTCTAACGGAAGTTTCGTCTTCGTTCACAACAACCTGTCAGATGCTTGATCAACCGGAAGAGAAGTAAGATAGCAGATTACCAAGAAGTACTGTTTTTTGAACATTATTTTTATGTCTGCATATTAGGTGTTTCACTTAAAGATAACTCCAGTAACTTCCATCTACCCGTGAAGAACCGGGTGAATTGGGAGTCACCATGTTACTATTATTTGGTTATATTATCGGAAAGTACATTTTAATCCATTCAGTTTTCCAGTGAATCAATTCTACCGCACCTCTTTTATTAGCTATGATGATGATGCTGCTGATTTGAAGTAGGCTAGTTAGAACAGAGGAACCCATGGTTTTGAGAGCACTTAGTCATCGTTCAATCGAATAATTTATTTGAATTGACCCATTTACCTAAAGTGCATGCAAAATTTTCTCGCTGAGGCTGGAACTTGGTGTTTGAACGACATTTCAGATAGACGGTCAAGATGTTACGGACAAAACTCAAACCCAAATAGTCCATTTACTAAGAGTGAAACCGGTGGGCAATGTGGTTCATTTACGAGTACGCCGGCTCCGCTTTCCCTCACTGGACTCCTTATCGACACCCCGTCACTGGTCTTCTGGTACCTCCCAATGTCCTGTCTGTGTTCCACGCAAACTGCCAGCAGGGAGTCCAGTCAAAACTTGTCCCGATGGCTGTCCCTATCGGTTATACGCAGGTGATACTATTGGCTCACAAAATCCCTACGATCCACGCGTAGCTGGTTCCGCTTCCGCACATAGGGTGCCCAATCAAATTTACCACACGTTGTCCACGGCAAAAGTTCGTTCGACGCCGTTTCCCGACAGTCGACCGCCCGAGAAACCTACCTACCGTTGTGCCTCTCCCACTCTACCACTCCGTGGATCTAACTGGACTGATGAATTTCCTGAGCTGGTGAGAACAGCGGAGTACCCAGTAAGTACAAGAGGTATTTTATTGGGATTACAACGTAGTTGTGATAGGTTTATGGGTCCCATTACCAAATGGCTCTATTATGCCAAAAGACAATCTTCATGTGTATAGTTTATGCGAGCACAGCTTTCCGGATGTCTGTACCTCCAACAAATAAACTAATAAAAAGGATAAAATGAGAGAAAATCGTCACAGCAAAACAAAGGAGAACCTGCAACGAAGAACAAAGAAAGTGGATTCATTGTGCCACATCGACCTCCCGTGACCGAGTTTATTCAACTTTAGTAAACTTCAGAGAGTTAACCTTGGTATAGATCAATTATTGTATTGGTCCTCTGTGTCTTCAATCGGTTTTACCGATTGGGTTTGACGAAAGTGGTGTGGACCGTGGCCTGACAACCGGCACAAATTGCATCAGGTTTATGTAAGTTAAGCATTCACTTGCGTAATTTGTTTGCAGCTTACTAATATTCAAGTGGAAGAAGATAGGAAGTCTGAAGTAGGCTCAAATCAGATCCACCTGAACACGGCAATTCCATGGTGGATGTAGCGACTACATAAAACTTAGGCTAAGTATATCGCACGAGTTATGCTCAAAAAATTGTTGAGAAATAAACCCATACTACCCGTATTCTATTGGCAGAGGCAACAAACCGTAAATTTCCGTTACTGTGGTTTTGTAATCCCCATTATAAACGGCAAACAACTTACGAATAGATTTGCAATTGTGATGAAATCGAACAGACGCGGGAAGACGTGCGGCGGCGTGCGGAAAGGTTACAGTATGGCAGTTCGGTAATCGGCAGTCTGTCAAACGTTAAAGCGTTGACCTTGGGGAGTTAAACATATGCCACTGGGGCGAAGTAGAAATGTTATGTGTTGAATAATGCCGATGTTCAGAGAGAGGATGTGTGAAGATTTGTATGGAATGTAGGAAAGTGCTTAGGGAATAAGGGTTCCATGTCCTTACCTTGACAATCCAATTTGGCTGAGGAATCAAAGTTCTTTTTGAATTTTATGGCATCTATGAACTGTAAATCCATCTGAATTATTTTCCTGCCACCGCGAAATTCCTAGTTGTCTATTTGCAAATTGGTTGTTTATCCGAACACGGCTATGTGTGCTGTAAATTCTATTCATGGCTTTTGAGTATTTGTGACATCGGAACAGGCTAGGTTTATACTCTCACTACCTCGGCATAATGCATCTCCTTCGGTACTGCGCTGTGCATTGGTGATGCATGTTCATTCGCCTTGACGGACTGTAGGTTCTCACTTCTTGCCATATTATGCATTCAAGGTTAAATTTAACCAATGAATCGTGTTCACTCACTGCGCGTTTGCTACTAACTTTACGGAATGTTTCGGACTCCCTATGAATCAGAGCATAGCACTTTTAGTTCGGATTCAGCTTGTGTATGAGGTTTAATCCACAGGCTATACCTTCCATTCCGGTACAGATTAGAGCGTATAATGGCTCCTCCAATGTACTTTCCGTCGCTAGTCAGATTAAATATTATCGATTCGCATACACCGCAGCACCACACTCATTGGAGTAGTCACTTACCTTGCTATATGACTGCCAACCTTGCTATATGTCTACCTGGTTTTTCCGGAAGGCGTGTACCTTCGATTACAGTGTTCCATGCACTGCAGTTTGGTCATCTGCCATATACGTGCAAAACACGATGGAAATGAAAAATACTCACACCGCCATGAAAAATATCTAGTCGATTAACTCCAGTCAACTCTGATCAAGTATTCTTTCCATAACCGTATAAATTGGCGGAAAAAATGCGTTGAAGAGGACTCGCCACTAGCATACGGTGAGTACGCTGGGGGGGGGGGACAATAGGACTTAATTGTCGTGAAAGTGCGGTGCCAGAGCTGCGCACCTGTCAGGCGTCTGGAACTCGCGATTTGCTGGCAAGAGTTCAGCTACCGTTTTTGGCATCAGCGGTTTACGGGTGTAGTTGTTTGGTGTTGATGATTCCATTTTCTGGTACTACATTTATGCAGAAAGATAGAGAAAGAATTTTACAAATCTTCGTTACTTGGCGTGTAGACTGCGCGGCCTTACTGCGACTTCCCACTTCCTAACAAATACCTATTTTACGTTACTACTGATAAGTAGTCAGTTATTTACATATCTAACGGTACCCGCCGTATTCCTAGCGGTCTAATTGTCTATTGTGTTCACACTTGCTATGCCTCGACCAATACTACCACTGGTACGCCATCCATGTAAACCGATGCACGCTCTCATGGGGTTTCCCAGTTTTAATCGGGTTATAGGAGCAGAAACGACCGATTCAGTCTATTTGCTTTGGGTTGCACCCTGGCAAGCTCCAGTTAAGCCTACTACAATTCGAATAGACCGAACTAGAATTTCAAAAGTTTTTGGCTTGGGTCATGCCATCGTGTCAACAACTCTGTAAACCGAGCAGAAAAGAATATCAGTCGAAATTACTCCTTTTTTAATTTCCGGCTTTTAGCACACTGAGCTTTGCTATGGTGTCCACTGGACGGAGATATTAAATCTCGGATTAGGAACAATGCAAGCTGAACTCAAGTTTACGTCTCGAACGTCAGATAAAGCATTCCGTTTTCTGTTTTCTCTACCGACCACAAATAGTGGTTGACACCGTCTTTGTCGAATACAGCATATTCCTCTTTTCTATGATAAACACGGTGAAGCTGAGTGAATATAAACCGGTTTGACAACTATTTCTGCAATATGAGGTTCTGCGGCAAAATTGACCACATTTAGCTCCCTCAGGGCGCTGTTTGCTTGACACAAGCCCCTGTACTAGTCACTCACAATTAATAGCTTGAATCCAGTGGATTTTGCATAACCACATTTGCTCAATTCTAAGGTTCTGAAGAAACTAACGATCGTGGAGCAATTTATCACATTTTCACGTTCCGTGGTCATTTTAGAGATTGCGTCCAGTACCGAGTTGCATTTCTTAGAATGCTTGACTAACTCATCTCGAGGTTGCACATACCAAGATCATCATATTAAAATCCGCATGCGTTCGGGTCATGTTTCGATACATTCGTCCTAGGGTTTGCTTGTCAGTGTGACAGCTATCGGCTACAGGACAGCAGTAATCAGAAAGTGCCGTTAGTGACTGTATTGCTATAAGCCCAACGCCACCAAAGCCCATCACGGAGGCAGCCAGCCCAAGCTTACTGCAACTGAGAACCGTGACAAACCCGGATTCTGTCCACTCTTTGTAATACCCAAATCCTTACCGTAAATGCCAATGTGTATAGCTTGCGAGAATGGTGAAGGGCCCTTTTCATGATGAAACTACTTCAGGTAAATATCACTGCCACTAATACTGTATACCTCATCTACGTCAACAACGATTGAGGGATTTCTCAACGCCTTCGAGCAGGCTATCCTTCAAATGTCACAATAGGCACATCGGTCATAGTCATCAACAGCAGTACATCAGTCATTTGAACTGATATTTCGCTGCCATACTACAACGGTGGCCTATGGCAAGAAGAATAATTAGAGGGAGAGTAGAGACCTCGCATTAAATCCTGATGGACTAAGCAAACATGAATGGTCAAGACACCTACACTTTGTCAACAAAATACGATCACGAACAGCTGGCTATCGTACAAAGACAAGGCGGCATCGGCAAGACAGCTTCTTTGCGGTTTCCACTGACCCGCTTAATAACCAGCCCTTATCCCGCAGATAACTCAACATCAAATAGGCTTTTAACAGGCAGTCTGAATATGAGACGGCAGCAGGTACTCCACTAGTGTCAACTGCGAGCCAAGTCCTTTAACATCTCGTGCCAAACACTAGGCGGGTCACCTGGACTCCAGCATGAAAGGCGAGACGGCCCACAGTTTGATGGTAAGAGAATTCATTTCCTGCTACCAAGTCAGCTTATGTCCACCCCGAGTTTCGCGCCACCATACATGTGGCAGAAAAAACCAGGCCTTCCTCGGTAAGAGGTGACCGGGCATACGTAGTACGTGCGCATACCAGCACAATTTCTTCAGTGCTATTATTTGTACTGAGTGACTAGACTAATTACACTGTTCAAGATCATCTTTGTGACAGAAATGAGATAGGTTGTTGCTAGTAGTAACAAACTAACTGACTACAAATATTCAAACCCAATGTTTCTATCACGTCTGGTTTGTGCTTAATTTCAGTTTTTAGTTTCTGCTATGCAGTGCGTTCTGTGCATCAGATGGTCGCCTGTAACTCAAAGGCAAAGGCAAGTTGACCTTGACAATCCCGATGTCGTGAAGGGAGCCAAAGGATCACAAGAAACACTGCTCCTTCTGCCTATATATACCATTTCTCGATTGATTTCAGTCTTAACGAATCTGTTTATTCTTTTACTCTTCAGCTTTCGTACTTAATGTAGAAAATTTGATCAAATACCCATCTAAATTTAATCCAGATCGTACTGAGGGGAAAGCGGTGCACCTCGTTTGAGAGCCCTTACTCAGGTGTGCGTACGTGTGGAATGTGTAAGCGGTGCAAAAATCTTCGGGGTCATTACGCCCAATGGCCTGAGCGGGACAACGTGATATCCAAATGGCGGACATCACACACGCTTGGCATGCGGAGGCATAGTTTAGTTCCGTAAATGTCCAGCTGACTTCACGCGTCTGACTTATAAGTGGCAAAGTTCATACGGTTGCGATGGACCGTCTCTGGTCAGCGGAGTTGTCCCTTCTGCTTTCCCCCAGTTTGGTTGTACGGGAAACACACACAGCGGGCAAGGCGAAAAGGAAACCTTCGTCATAGTTCACCTACCGATATTGTCTTGAATTTGATTTATATGTAATTTTTAAGCTTTAGAACCCATTACGTGCGATGGGGAGAAGAGGAACATACGCCCGTCATTCGTCCGATGTAAATGCTCTTATCCTGAAGACATGAAGAGGGAAACGAATAAAAGGGCGTAACATCTCTGCTACTGGTAAATGTGAAGACACTTAGAAGCCGGATTAGAGCATTGT